ATCACAACTTTCTTAATGTACATTTGTACTAAATATGCTATATACTAAATCTTCTATTCACTCAAAGCTACAACCGGACGACGAAGTCGCCCGTACAACACATTGCTAGTTATACATAGCTAATTTGCTAAATATTTATTTTTGAATTTTTAATAGAATTAAATTCTGTTCATCCCATCTTAAGAACGATACCTTCGAACTCAGAATTTTAAAATTGCTAACGTCATAACCTGTTAATAACCATTATAACGTTAACAAAATCTGAAATTCTGAGTTTCAGAGAAGGTATTGTTCTTTCCATTTATAAGATGGAATGAACAGAATTTAATTCTGAACAACTTTAATTAAAAGTTCAAAAATGAAAAATCACTTAATATTTAGCTATGAATAATCGTGACCGTTTGCCATCCCTACCTAGGACCGAAAATTATCGTGTAATCACGGGTATATTATATATTATTATGCTATATGTAGTATTACCAATAACAATTCTTCGCAAGATTATCATAAATGGATGTATAACTATAACAGCTCTTGATTTTGTTTATGTTCTGTAAAAACCAATATTACATCTCTACAAACAAATTTATAGAGCCAGCCATTCTTTTGTATTTTAACGTGAAGAATTTTAAAATACAATCACAAAAAGAAGACTTTTTATCTATAAAGAAATAAATGGCGCTATATATTTATTTGAAGAAATATCAATTTTTTACTTTACAAAACTTAAGCTATTGAATTATTAGAGCTATAAATTATTCAAAATTAGCGAAGAATTACTATAATGCTAGATTACCGCCATCGATATAAACTGAACATAATGTCTATTTTTCTGTTCAATATTTATTTGCATACAACATTCTAATTTATTACCTAATTATATTTAAGATTAGAAATATTATTACAATTGATTATCATGATCATATAATACAGTTTTTTTAATTATTGAAGGTATATTAATTTTATGCAAATAAGTTTTAGAAATATCTAATCAATAAAAATTAATGTATATTAGATCCTTTGAATGGAACGTATCATATGGTCCTTCAGTTTGCAAATAATGGAGACCTTCGATGTTATTTGTATAATAATTTTTCAAAACTAGATTGGCTGACTAAAGTTAGAATGGCAAAAGAAATCTCAAATGGAATCAGTTGGCTTCATGAAGCGAATATTGTTCATCGTGACCTTGTAAGATTTCCGTTGTTTGACTCATTTTATCATGTATATTTAAAAGCATACAGTCTAATAATAATAATATAAAATAGCACGATAAGAATATATTAGTGTATGATGATTGGTTATTAATTACGGATTTTGGTTTATCCAAATTATTGGAAAACAATTCGAAATCTGTTTATGGAAGATTGTATAACTTCTTGGATCCGCAATATCTTACGAAGCCAGATAAATTTAGAAGAGAGAAACCTAGTGATGTCTATAGTCTTGTCATGCCATTCTGGGAACTGTCAAGCGGTGTACAACCTTTTAAGGATATAAATGCAGTGGGAATAGCTCTGTATGTGACCCAAGGAGAGCGAGAGACCCCGATTGAAGGAACTCCAAAAGACTTTTTATCAAAGCTTGGGATGATAATTCGAATCTACGTCCTAACATTATTAAAATATGTTACACAATAAATAAAATTCAAGAAGATTTAACAAGTCATGGAAAACATGATGTAAATATGAATAATAAGAAGTATTTTATGTATGAGCATGTGGCAAAATTAGTTCGTGAAAGAACATCTACCTAATAGACTATAGTGAGCTTAAACAACCACAAAACGAACTAAAGGAATTTAATGATAAAAATACGCAGTCTGCCAAAAAATTATGGAATAATAAGCTAGTAAATTTAATATTATTAGATAACTATGATAAATGTGATGATAGCACTGTTGCGGAATTAATAATCGAGGTAGGTACGGATAGACTTCATTAAAATTGCCAAATTAAATAACTAATCCTTATTTCTTTAGCTTAAACTATTTATGCATGATAATGTGTTAAGAAACTTTGGCCTCACGTATGGTTAGTCACTATTTAAAGATTCAAGTTATATAAAGTATAATTAAACTGCAATGCATATGGGTATGATTAATAATCATTGATCAGATCTCCTAAAATGGAGCAGATAAAAAGCTGTTACCTTAGTGAGATAAACGTCTGTTCTAAATTAATAATTATTTTTAATAAATTAGACGGAATTAATTATTATTTTGTGCGTGAATACACTGACATGGATTTACGAGATTACGTGTATCTCAATCAACTGAGTTCTAAAGGTACTCTTCTAAGCTGGTACGATAAGTTAATACTAACACGTCAAATAATCGAAGGTTTACGATATCTTCATGATCAAGACGTTGTACCCTTAGAGCTGGTAAAATTTTGAAAGTTTATCATTCACTTATTATATTCAGAACTTTATGTTGATTAGTCTAAAATGTATTAAACCTTTAGAACCCAAAAAATATATTTATGCGTAACTGGATTCCTAAATTAACTAATACTAAGATAGCACAAACCCATGCAAAAGGTGGCTTTTCTTTTTCGAAATATGCAGCTCCTGAAGTTCTATTGTCTCATGAGATTGAGCATAAAAAAAAGCAAATATTTACTCTTTGGGCGTGCTAATGTGGGAAATTTCGAATAATGGTATTGAGCTTTCTATCAAAATAACTCAGTTAAATTAGCAATTGAAATTATTAAAGGTGCTCGTGAGTCGCCTATAGAAGGAACATCACGTAAATTTGTTGAACTTTACAATAAATATTGGGATAATGTTCCTGGTAAAATTCATTTATTACTTTATTTATTAATAACTATAATAAATTAAATGATATAATATTTAATTTTCAACTAGCTATTCGACCCACTTGCAAAAAAATTCTCGATGAATTAATTGGTCAATTGATATCGGAATAATACATGGAGGAAGTATTCACTATCCCTGATTGCGTTATCTGAGCTGATCACATAGCATGCTCTATCCCCCAAAAAATTTATCGAAATCGAGTTATATTTATAAGAAGTTTTAAGCCCAACGACTTTTGTTTCCATAGTTAGGTGTATACCATGCTATGTGAACTTTATTTTAAAATTATGAATTACTAAAAATATATTATTGGTTTAATTGATGATTAACAATTATAGCTATATTTCCATAATTAGATAATGAATTCTTAAAAGTGAAGTCAAAACAATACGAATCAAAGGTACAGAAACATCCAAAGCTACATCTTATATATAATATTTTACAATTTTCTAATGATAATATTAAAATTCAATTATCTATTTATGATTTTTTTAAAACCAACTTTTACGCGTTATGCATTCTACATATTTTTGATATTATTAACTCCCTTTTGGATACAATACGCTTATTTTCATCTAGAATCTGTTTTACTTTATATTCATTTTATTACTAAGTTGTGTATTAGGATTGCTTTTAAGAGATTTAACTTCACCCATATAGATATATTCATAGTTTTCAAGGAATTAGACCCTTCTAGAAAGTTCATGCTCTTGTAATTTTAGAATTAAAACTTTTTCCTTTATTTCGTTCTCATCATAAATTGCGAACTCTAGGCGGTTTTTCTGTTAGATATGGATACGTTTATCTTTATCAAGAATATGTCATATTCATTTTCATTAGTATCATAAATTGGAGTCTTAAGGCTATTTTTGAAAACCATTTCATGTCTTAATTCATGTATCCATCTTCGTTTATGCGTGTAATTTCATAATCAAAAAACTTTTCACACTATACACAAGTTATTATATTTGAAAGCCATAATTATATACAAATAGTCGTTTCTTTTTTAAATGCATATGTAACATTCAATTAGTTTACAGATCTAATATATGCACTTAATGCTACACATGTTTAACGCTATCTAAAACAAAGCTATAAAACTGTACTGATAACATCCGTTTCTACTCAGCAAAGATGCTTTTGCTCGGTTGGTTAAATCAAGCTATTGAAAATAAAAAAATCGATTTCATTGATTTCATTGAATTTGATGATTTAGATTTTAGTGCTAAGGAGCATTGTTAGCATTAGTCTGAAAAGCAGGCCAAGTTTTAAGGTTACACGGCATTCTTTAAACGTAGCTACTAATGAGAAGGAAATAGAAATTTTGTTTTCTAAGGTACAGTAGATTTCATAATTCAATACATGTAATGTTTCTGTGCTAAATTATTTTATTTTTTTTATTTGAAGGAAAGAAATCATACAAATATACTCAAGGGCTTTATTTCCAAATCTAAGATGTGAATATATTTATTTTTATATGAGCGTGAAAGCATATAATTTTTATGACATTTGTAGATATGAATAATGTAAGTTATCAAATTGATTAAAGAAATGAAATAAGGCTGCTCGGAGTTAAATAGTTGGTTGGTTAATGTCAAATATTTCAACCTTAGATAAAAAGGTGGGTTTTTAAACAAACATACATATGTCTCAAAGTATTTTGATTAATGTCCCGTGTTAAACTAGTTAACTTTGAACGGCCTAATTATTAATATGAATTTACATAAATCCCCAGGGGAGACACATCTCCAAGTACATGAGGGAGGGTAATATTGCCTCTTGATGATTGTGGTGGTGGAATCGGCCAATAATCGATTGAATTATTAATAAAGATCGTTTAGATAAAGTAATATTAATTGATCTTAAGCAATGAATATTAAAAGTTCATATCTACATGAGCAATCAGGAAGGCAAGCGGTAACGCCATCGGCTCCAACTACTATTTAAATAGGACAAATATTAAGCGTCGCTTATTTCTTAAAACAACTGATAAGTTTTATTCTCATGACAGTCTAAAATAATAAATGAAGGTTTAAAATAATGAAAGTTTGAAATAATGCAGCATAAACTACTATGCAGGCTTATTATTATGCTTACCCTAGAGACCTAATTATTTGATAGAATACGTAAGTTCGCACAATTATTGATGCTAACTTTCAAATAACGCTAATTATAAAAATCATAATTATGCTTTTATCCGGCTAATATGATATAACGCTAAGTTATAAAAATTTAATGTTTTTAAGAAACGAAGTGAATATTATACTTACAGGGAAAACGCATCTGTCCTCAGAAACCACCGATGATTCATTTGCGTACAGGATTTTTTACCTAAATTATGGAAGGAGAACGTAAAAATTTTTTGTCTTTATGGTTGAAAAAATGGTAGCGAATGTTGAACAAGAAAGAGTGAAAAATAAAACCAACCCGTGGGAGAAAGATAAAATTACATTTTTAATTTCTGAAGAACTGTTAAATGTTTCAGAAATTGCAGTTGCCAATGTTTTATGTACACAAATTAAAAAATAATCTAAATAAAAATTATAGCCAATTTTTATTTGGGATACTCTTATGTAAAATATAAAAAATAAAATAATATTGTAATATCGGGAAATCAGGTTCTGACACTATCTGATAGTCGAATATTATCACTTTTTTTATACGTAACTGTAATGAAGAAATTCTTGGTATAATTGTAGTTTCTGGCCGACGTACTGGATCTCCGTTCAAACATTTAAATTTAGATACTGAGTACTTTATATGTGAATTCACTTTTCTCGATAATTATGAAAATATATTTCATTAGCTAATAGTCAATTTGTGCTTATCTGCACGTTATATTGGATTAAAAAAAAAAAAAAAAAACTGATAACAATATTAGAATGACTTACTGTATTTATATTTATGTTGTCTCATGTGAATTAACATGTTTAAATAAGAAACATATCTAATTCAATATTGATTTTTTTAATTCATTACTGTTTTTGTTAAATAATGTAGTATAATAGTTATACTGTATGAACCTACGTACGTTATTTTGAAATAAGGGTTGATTTTTTGAATCACATTTATATATTATAAATTGAAAGGGCGAACCCATCGTTATACTATTTATTTAATTAGTTAAAGTTTTTTTTTAATAGAAAAAATATATTAAATGATGTAAATTGAACTTGAACTTCATATTGAATTATTTAAAAGAGAATTAGGTCGCTCTCAAGCGTCAATCTCAATGTTATTAGAAAGTGATCATAATAGTGCTCAAGCATAATTATATTTACAAAAATGTTTTGGAGAAAATTTGAATATGCAATTTATGACATAATTGTAATCTTCTCAATCATCAATTCCAATGTGATCGTACTAGTGCTCATTTATTACGATCAATCAAAATAACCATTGAAGTCAATATTTGAGCAGTCCCCTATTGA